AGATGTCATCGCTGCGACACTGCGAAGCCGCCGTACCGACAAGCACGCCGCCGCGACGCGCTTCGCCAGACTGACCAACGGTCAGAACCTCTGCACTGCGCTGCGCCTTGCCGCTCGCATGACCGCCGGCGTCGCGACGTGGGAGACTCTTCGACCGCGCGCAGACTGGGTTGACGCCGTCGAAAACGCCGCTCGCAACGCATGTACTCTTGGGTCTCGACATGACAGGCCTAGATCAGTGCTGTACTCGCAACCGCCGTGATTCTATTTAAAAGACAACGCACGTGCCCACGGATATAGAAAAGTAGTATTCGCTGTCGTCCGGACTGCAAGCATCACACGCTGCGATGGGTGTGGCAGGTCCTGATGTCACTCTCCATTATCGAATCGTTTTACCACAAAAGAGGGATGGCAAGCCTCACGAGTGCACGCACGTAATCGTGAGTCGGATCATCAGGATAAGCTACGATAACTTGCTCGCTTTCTCCCTCTCTTTCTTGCTCGAGTGCTGTACTGCTTGTTTCTAACTTGTGTACTGATCCGAACCACCTCTCTCCTCACATGTTGATGACACGCCACCGGAGAAGTCACTGAACGGGTGTTTTAGATGGCAACACAGTTTAATTTATGCAAGAACGACCGATCACTGGGAATTCGGCGTGAGTTCGGTCCGATCACTACAAACAGCTATCTATATATGTACAACGGAGACAAACGTACGAGTGCATGCACACCAGTGCTACACGTAAACAACTCAAATTCACGTATCGCAAACTCAAATGAGACGGATCCATGTCACATATCCTGGCAGGAAACAGGGCAACCACAATTCGCCGGCATACACCACCTCTGCACATCAGGGATTGTCACGTATGAATCACCCGCCATTACATATATGCAGTCTCACGTAGATGGCGACCAATATAACCTCTGATAACCAAGCAACTGTTTGCTGCATGAAGTTTTGATGTAACTGTACATACATGTGGAAATGTACGCCAAAGACAAGATTCTAATATACACGCATTCAGACGTAACAGAATGCAACAAGAAGAGCTACACTTTTCCACTACTTTCACAGTTTCTAAAATAATTCGATTAAAACGGTGTAATAATATTGGAGTCACTGGTTTCATTGTCAGAACAGTCCTAAAGTTTAACATTTAATGAAAAAAAAAGGACTAGCACTAATCTTAGGAAGGATCATTTTCTGACAAGTCACCCCACCACTCCTAGTTTAGAGGAAACTAACGAACACGCGTAATTCAGCAGCAGGATGCAGTGTGCTCATAGGTGTATGTATGGCTGTGTAGCCCAGACCATATTTACATTTCCAGGCGCCTGTTACGTATATATATACGCAATAATGCCAACACCTTTTCCTGTTCCTTTGCTGGCTGCAAGTCAATCGGTTCTGAGATTGGAAATCTAGTTGGAACTGCTCAATCACATCTGGTAAACTTTATAACTAATTTTCGTTGCTTGAAGTTGAATGACTGTTAAAGCTAGACTATAAAGTCACGGATTGATTCTGCACATTTATATACTTATATATACAGCTTTAGAGGCAGAACTTTGTTGTTCGCACATCATAATTAATATCACACCGTTTCTTTAAAAGCTAAACTAGAGACTTGGACAGGAGTTTGCTACAATGAAGATAACAAGGCTCTTCACATTTGGAGTCATGTTGTTTATGACTGTAAGTCCGTCTTCTAATTTGCTCATATATATATGCAAACACTAACATAATCTACTTCCCTACAGCTACAGACGTGAGAGCATGTGAGAGTAAGGTGTACATTACTTCCTAAATTAATTTGTACCACAAACTATCTATTCAACAAGAAAATTATTATATTTCATATAACCTGCTAATAAGCATGCAAGGGGTTGAAAAAAAAGCTTTATTAAAATGCCAAAATGGTGCCAACGCATTCAACCTTTATTACGCCACATGGACGACTTATGAACAGGTTGTATGATAACCACTCTTATTGGTTATTTAGTGCTATGGGATCATAATACATCTCCTGCACAAGTCACTAAAAGATGAATTTTCGGTTAACCCAACAATGAGCCAAGTGTGCCAAGCAGTTTATATTAATAAACATCAATATTAATCTCATTTAATAGCTTATATACTTTCTTTTGTCTGAAAAAGGTCATTCTGGTAGTGACATGCAAGTCTGTGCACAAGAGAGACAAGCACAAATACAAAGACTCCCCATATGCTTACTGGAGCACCCGCCACCATCGTGACAGCCCGAAACATAAGTATGGGTACGATGAAAGCTATGGTGGTGCATACAGAGACCGTCAGAACCCAGAATGGAACGAAGCGATCCGGCACTACAACCCACAATATCCGAAATATTTTGGATATCACAACCCTTACCACTAACCAAGATTCAATAACTGGTGGAAACGGATATTCTTGGAACAAGATGTACAATTGTGCTGCTTTTCCTATATTGAAGTTAAAAGTAATAAGTATACCATTCATCTTAATTTTAATGCAAATTGTTGCCAGTCATAGACATTGTTATTGTGCATTTGTCACTCCAGTTGGTAATGAACTGTACAAATGTTTGTTCATTTCGATCTACATGCACCACGACTGTAATGCCTTGCTTCTATATATTCATGAATGTGATGACACTATACATTCCTATGCAATTAAATACTAATCCTATCTCTAATATACATATCTGTTTAAAAATATGGGCTTGTTAGTGGACATCAGAACATTGGCTGGCAACCTATGCTATTGTTCTGTGTTCAGTAACATGACAATTCTCATTACACCCATGGTCATGCAAATCGGATGCAACCACTTTTTCAACAATGAATGAGTAGGCCTAGCAATAACGCTGAAATTGTTAAATGCTAGTTTGGTATCTTTCACAAATCTTGGCTGGCAACTCGTACAGTTAAAAGTCGAAATACATCTCGACTATAAATGCCGACCATCGATGTATCATTTAGCCTATGTACTAAGGTAGTTATGGCGATCACGAACCTGGTGAAAGAAAACTTATAGTTATATTTATAAGTTATATTTGCAAGAAATGGTCTGCGATTGCTTTGCAATAAATATACACTTCAAATTTGCAATAGCGTTTATTATGCACTCTTATAATCAATAATAACAATCAATTCACAATTACCATGTACTATGAAACATCGATAAACATCTTTTGGGTGGCTCTATTATTTGTGTCAATTAACAAATTCCTTTTGCAGTTTCCTTAGATTTGCAAGATGGCTGCCTACAGAACTTGCACATCGTAACATACCTGTTTCCTCGGACATTCTTCAAAAACGGAAAAATTAAAATACAAGCGAAGTAGAGCGAAGTTTTCAATTCGTAATTGTCTACAAATACATATATAGTTACAATAAAAAGCAGTGAAATTTACCTAAAGTAACCACACCATGACCGTGACCGTACACCATTCGTGACGTCATCGGAGTATTTTTAGGGTTCCCCAGCGCCATCTCTCATAAAATATTAGACAATTTTCTTTGGGTGGAAAAAAGCCTTTCTTTTGGTCGTGTTTTTTCTTAGAAAATACTGTTCAGTTATTTTTCTATTCACACTATCAGATCTACGCATTTGTTTTCACACTAATTCAGTGGTATGTTAAAATCACAGTGTATCCATCGCATAGGCCTACCTCGTACCTGAAGATTAGGCGTGCTTCCGAGTCGTTAGAGAGAAAAAAAGTCAGCAACGACATATGTAGATATGTGAATATATATATAATATAGATATACAAATATATATATATATATGCGTAGCGCGTGTGCGTGCGTGCGTGCGTTGCGTTGCGGGTGTTGCGTGCGTGCACCACACACACGCACACACACACACACACACACCACTGACACACACACACACACACACACACACACACACACACACACACACACACACACACACACACATGCACACACACACACACACACACACACACACCCACACACACACACACAGCACACACACACACACACACACACACACACACACACACACACACACACACACACACACACACACACACACACACACACACCAACACCGTCCGACCACACCATCACACACACACACACACACACACACACACACACACACACACACACACATGCACACACACACATATATATATATATAACTTGTATAAAAAATGTATATAGTAGATATCTACGCATACGCGTACACACATGCGCACACGCACGCACGCGCGCGCACACACAGTGTATAACGCTCTGTTTATTGTGAAAATATTTTTGTTGGTTAATTAAATGTTGTAAAAGTTTTTTAATGTCCTTTACTGTATAAATCCTTTTCTGTTATAGTAAATGTTGTGTTGAAGTAGTTCCAAGTATGGCTATAGGGTATCTAAATTGCAGCTGGCAATCCCGGCTGGCAATATTATTTCTGTGTAACTTTTTGCTGTGTTTCATTTCTATAACTATAAGTAAATATTCTCGAAGATTTAGATGTATTAGTTATTTTATATGGATTTTATATATGTCAATTCCTAATCGTAAATGGGTTTGTTTTGTTTTGAATCATTTATTAAACTAAATTAATATAATTCTATATATAACTTAATTATAAGTAATAATAAAAGTAATAACTAATAAGTTATAAAACTAAAGTAACATTTTATGTAACATTTTTACTTCGAGTGTTGTGCATTATCTTGATGAAAATCTTACTTGTAGTAAATGAATATTTTCTTGTATAATTACTTATCTTGCTTCCCGGGGCCTCGCTATAGTAAAATATTTTATAATTATTATGACTCTAGCACTATAAATATTCATATTATAAATTTTCTCACTGTAGATATCCAGATTATTTCTCTATAAAAATATATGCACAGGCAGCAAAAAAACTTTTTATTGCGCTCTAACAGAGATCGGCTGTCTTGCACATAGGCCGCATATAATAAGGATTTAGGGTATCCGAATAAAGCAAAATAACACATGGCAAGCATTGATCTCTCAAGATGTCTGCGCCCTTCACAAGATGCGTTCTGCAATCGAAATTTAACTTGATAGATGTTATTCAAGCTAACAGGTAATTTAACTTTTTATTTCACTATTGTATAAGTGTTTTGAATATAAATCCCAGATCAGGTATAGCTAAAATCCAACAGAACTACCGCTGCTACTACCGGTGCAGTATATATGCCGCGGCGCATGGCCCCCAGCCACAAGCACTTGAAGCGTATCAACTGTAAACACACGGCGCCGCCATTGCGCGTACACTAACACATAATAACTAACTCTATTATTATGTGTTAGTGTACGCGCAATGGCGGCGCCGTGTGTTTACAGTTGATACGCTTCAAGTGCCTGTGCCCCCAGCCACAGCCCAGGCACTTAAGTTGGTCCTGGAATGTTTCAGTAATAAAATGATGGTAAATAAACACGAAATGTGTGGTGCGAAATGTGCGGGTTAAGCACCTTATTTGTGATGCACAGATTTGCATGTATCATGGAATGATGCACGCATCTACGACTACATACAAACAAACATGTAATCAAGAGATTATTAGTAATACTACTAATAGTATATTTTATTGTTTGTGCGCAGCGGCTTTCGGGTGGTGTACTTGTGACATTGTGACAGTGTGTTGCAGAGGAGCATTTGAACGGCATTTACAGAAAGTTATTACTAATAAGTAATAATAGGCGAAAGAGAGCAGAGAAACATTATGTATAATACTGATATAGTAAATACAATTGTAACAATTCGTGTTTATTTACCATTCTTTTATTATTGAAACGTGTCAAGTGTCTGTGCAATGTCCCCCAGGATACACAGTGCATGACACCATCTCATCCCTGTGACCCTGAACTCGGGTTCATATCAATAAATGATGAACTCTAGTGAGTTGGTCTAAATTTGGATGATTAAAGTGACTTTCTCTTAAAAAACATAAATTGCATTCATTTTCCTTACCACAACACGTACCCCGTGTTACGGTATTGCAATATTATACGGTATTGCAATATTATACGGTATTGCAATATTGTATATATTGCAATATTATTACTAATATTATTGCTGATATGGCTTATTAATTATAGTTACCGGTATATCATAAGTCATCGCCGAGTCACCTTATAAGCATTACACGTTCATCCTCTGAGACTGTAGTGCGCTCCATGAATAGAGAGAATAACGCAAGGGTGATGGGTAGAGGATGTATGGGTATGAGGAGAACCCGGGACTGGGGAGTGCTGGACGAAAATCGATTGGGGGACCTGAGAATTTGCAGCCCACCCTGCTTATCATATATCAGGGGAGGAGGATTCTAACTAAGAATGAGAGAGCCAATTAAGGTTGATTAAACTTAATTCTTTGTCCACAGAGTTTTCCAAGCAGTTGTGGTAAATCACACTACAAGGGAAAGACATGTACATGCCACAACGAGAGCATTTTCTTCAAAAGATGGCGAGGACAAAAAATACAGCTCCGATCCATCAACTAATCAAGAAAGTAAGGGGAAACACGGTAAAAAAGTGATACTATTATACCAGGAGTGAATAATAGAGAGGAGTATGACAGGCTCGAAACACAAGAAATTCAACATTTCCATGCCCATATTTACCTATGATTGATTACGTGAAATCCAATAAAAATGACATCAGAACTAGCGCTGAACATCCAACTTGTCCTCACACTTTACTGTGTAATGATACCTCTTCTTATTATGTCGTTATAGCTTCGAACGTCAGACGTGGTTTCACTAATAAATACCGCTAAGTGTATATCATTCGCAACCTGTAATGCCAACAAGAGGCAGCTTTCTCTGAGATACCCATTGGCGGGGTTCGGCGGGGATTTGCAACTCACAACCAGCTCCGAACGCTGGATCTAACCTGCAGCACTAACAGCAGGTTACTAGCAAACTAACAGGGGCGAAAACATAACCTCCTTGGCAGAGGTAACAACACCGAGACGGTCACATGCACTTGGGGCACAGTCAGTAAAAACTGCAACTAATATATGAACCTCTGCACATCCACAAAAACTACCTGTTTATTACACTTCCACTAGAGTTGTGTCACTGTATATCGACTTGCTTTCACAAAAACTAGCCGCTCCCGCCACTCGCGGCGGGCGTGCGGGTGTGCGGGGGTCGCTAATACACTGAAATATATAGCAGAGCCGTAGGCTGGGCAAATACCTAAGGGGGGGGGGGCAGTGGCGGATCCATGATTTCAATGAGGGGGTGAGAAACAGGTGGGGGGTCTGGGGGAAAATTTTGAAAATGTAGATCGCAGGAGATGGCCCTGCATAGTAATCCCCGCCAAACCCCGCAAACAGATATGAAAGCTGCCTCTTGTTAGCTTACAGGTTGCGAATCATCGACAATTAGTGAAACCACGTCTGACGTTCGAAGCTATAACTACATAATAAGAAGAGGTATCAATACACAGTAAAGTGTGAGGACAAGTTGGATGTTCAGCGCTAGTTCTGATGTCATTTTTATTGGATTTCACGTAATCAATCATAGACATAGGTAAATATGGGCATGGAAATGTTGAATTTCTTGTGTTTCGAGCCTGGCATACTCCTCTATTATTCACTCCTGATTATACTATATATAGTATTATACATTATACTAGTGTGATCAATATTGTAATAAGTCACTTTTTGTGTCAGTAATGCTGAGTTCATTGCATTCTAATTATTTTAAATTTTCTAAGGTAACTTCTGAAATGGCTTGAACATGATACTTGTCAGTAATAGAACCCCTTCTCTGATTCATCCTTCTACTCTTGTGTTAACTCCAGATGGGAAAAAGTCAAAGTCTGATCTGGCAGACCTTCTTGGGAGCATGAAGGTGACCACAAATACAGATGGTACAGGAGCCTCAGAACAAAAGCCAAGCAAGAAGCTGAAATTAGCGCATCCTCCTCCTAAGACAAAGGCGGCACGAATGGAAGCTGGAGTTTTCACAGAAAAAAAGCATGAGCCCTCTAACTTGAAAGACGTGTAAGTGATCCCTACATTGCTGATTCTAAACTAAATTAATATACGCAGTACGCTCAACAACCTTTATCCAAGTGTCACTCAAGGGAAACTCCGAATATGTCCTTTATGCTTTATAGACTAGTATCTATTCAATATGCGTTGTTTCACTGTATAACTGGTAATCAAGGAAAATGCCAAATAGTCGTTTGTCGCTTTATAGTCCCTTCTATAGAGGTGTCCGTTAACACAAATTTGAATGTGTAGGATGAAAATAATAATTGAAATCTATAGCTCTCATTAGGCGACTATTTCATGTTACGATTAACAAAGTGTATGTGTGTGGCAAAGGCAATGTTAGGACATACTATGTAAACCTTAAATTATACAGGAAGGATTGGATCTTAGAACCACAGCTCCTGAGTGCTGTGAGAAAGGTGGCAGAAAGCCTACCTGGAGACACACAAAATACTGAGTCAGAGCTCATTACAAAACTCAGAGACCATTCAGCTGCCACTGCAGGTGCTAAATCTGATGTAAATCTAAGGTACAAACTAGTTTTAGTAAACACATGCTTGGATGAAATGTTGCTAAGGTGTGCTCTTAATTTTTGTGTACACCAATCCAGTTTCCCAATAGCTATGCCTAATAATGAGTAGAAAGATGAGTTACAATGCACACTTTTACAATGACTGTGTTTATAAATACTATCTACTTTATACATAGCGAAACCGTGTTATCACTGTGTGCACTATGCATGCATAATATGGTACTGAAATTAGTAATGTTATTTAGTCCATGATGAATGCAATATCAGATATTGGACATTGTTAATCGTGCAGTGAGTCATTATGCTAATGGGTGGAAGTTTTTCTGTCTTTCCCTAGTTCCTTGTTTGTTGGCATGAAGATCGATCGGGAGGCTCCCAAGCGCCGTAGCAGGCAACCAAGCAGGGACGATGTCACAGATAGACCTGATGCAGAGAGACGCCCAGGGTTTGGGCGTTCTCTCGTACCAACAAGACCAACTAGAAAATTGTAGGTTCAATGCAGTAAGCATCTTGTGTTTTTGCAAGTCTGCTATTGCAGTAACGTTTCTCAAGTAGGGACTATGATGATAGCCTTGCAGCATCACTGTGGGGAGAAAAGAAGGTTAATTGTGCTGGTGCTATTTATTTGTCATAAAACGATTTTAAAGCCGCACTATGCGCATCCAAACGCTAATTTCTCCAGTACTAGACTAGCAAATACTTCGTGTCATGCATAATCACACTACCTTATGACAAAATAAACTCTAGTTCCTCCCATTTCACTGCGCGTTGTCTTATAAAAGGCATTTGAAAATACCTCCAATGTTGTTCAAATTCTCCGATGTTGTTGACACTTTCGCGTTGCTCTGCCAAGCAACCGCACAGCGGTGCTGCGGTACGGGTGTAGCAAAGATAAAAACATGTGACGTCACCTAAACGATTCTTGGCGAAATTGTTTGGCAAACAATTTAGCGTTGGCGCCAGATTACCAGATTTCGCACCTCTTTCTTGTGGGTTTTAAGCAAACGCGCAGTGAACTGGAGGAACTAGTTTATTTTGCCATAAGGTAGTGTGATTATGCATGACACGAAGTATTTGCTAGTCTAGTACTGGAGAAATTGGCGTTTGGATGCGCTTGGTGCGGCTTTAAATAGTATAAATTTTGTATAGGAGGTAACAATTTACATTATTTTGTTTATATGTACAGATACATCAGTTAGTCTGTAGTTAATTTAATTATATTTGTACATTTGACAGATATCCAAAGGTTGAGGAGAGGAAAGAAATCGATCTGTTTGGTGCTTCTCCGCTTAACATTTTTAAAGTTCCTGAAACTCCAGAAGGTAGCCAACTGAACTCCAATATGTAGCAGCATTATGTCAACATTCTTACACTGCACTCTAACATGTTCAGTCTAATTTATGCGAGTATTTCATGATCAAGTACATGTGATTTTACAGAGCGAGTGTCAGAGGAGTGGGACATATGGGAGGAGTATAACAACAGAGCTCTGAAAGATGCTGTCACTTATTCTCCTGCTAATGCTTTCGTGGAGCAGATCCAGTGGACCGAGTGTGGCAAGTTATGGCCATTTCCCATCGACAATCAAATCGGTATGCCATCTCCACTGCAGTGTTGTAACCATGTTTACGTCTAAGGCAGGCGAGGTGGGACAGAAATGGTATTTAGTGACTATCATATATTCCATTTAGAGTCATTAAATCAACCAATCAGATACAACTTATTTTTTCTCAGCCAATCATAGGCATGGAATTATTGACAAACACTAAATGATTTAATGATAGACACTAAATGATTTAATGTAAGTCACTAAATGATTTAGTGACAGTCACTAAATACCATTTGTGTCCCACCTCGCCTGCCATATACGTCTCATGTACGGAGTGTAAATGTGAGTGTGAACTCGACTGTACAGTTTACACATTTGTTCAAGCCAACAATCCTGCATGTATAACAATAGAATTCTGATAACATTTATAAGCCAACCTACATCAAGTGTAATTATTAGATCGTAATTCATCTATTCTGTTACGACCTCGTCAGGGCTGGAAGAAGAGGAAAACGTCGGATTCCACGAACACGTCTTTCTTGACCATCTTCTCGCCGATTTTCCGAAACGTGGGCCGGTGCGCCACTTCATGGAACTTGTCATCAATGGCTTGTCAAAAAATCCATACATGACAGTCGCAGAGAAGCGCGAGCACGTCGACTGGTTCCGACGATACTTCGAAGCGAAGGAAGAGGTGATTCATAGCGCTATTGAAGTTGCCTGAAGCGCCAGTATTGATCGTGGGTAGCACGTTTGTTGGTTGTTTCAATAGCGATTGGCACATGCAGAACGACAAGGATGGGGTTAGATGAGAGATAACTTCACAAGGATTTGATTTAGTGTCCAAGTTCACTGGGCACTCGAAATGTACATTTCCGTCTTTAGTTGACATGAACTACTTGACAATCCTATTTAGATTTAAACTGCAGCTGATCAAACAGTTAAATATTTATGAAGTTGGCAAATAACATACCAATAAGCATGTTATCTCGTGTTTGTTTTGTTTTTATTGCACACGTAGCATTGAATAAACAGTAGATGCAATAGTAATATCAAACTATCAATTCTTACTTTGTTTTACTGTCAATGCATTGAACTTCTGTGCATTAAAACACACATTCATGAAAATGATGTATAAACAGAATAAACTTCTGGTATAATATATACATACATGATTGCAAATATTCAATTCAAAATTAATGGCACATTTTTGTCAAAAAGACCAACTAACACTGGACAAGTTTCTTTTGCCATTCATGAGTTTTCATAAACCTACACTCAACGATGTGGACAACATTATTTAACTGCGATGTTTTAAGAATCGGTCCGATCAATTGTATTAAATATAATACCTATTATATAAAACTATAGCATTATACAAGATATATGGGAACACATTTTTACACATCTTACACTATACACAGTAACCCAACAAGGCCATAGCAGTTGTCAGTCCAAGCCCTCTTGCTTTTCACGAACCGCCTCCTATAAACAAAAAATAAATAAACCATTGAAAAATGTTAAACAAACGCAACTTGAGCTTATAAATTATTGATGGCTTCTAATAGTTCTGTCACAGAAGGCTTTAGAAATAGTGTGGCTATGGTCTACTCACTTTACTTATGATTACTTACCCATCAAAAAGTTATCTGACTTCTTAAATAAGTTCATTCGGTTGGAAGAATAATATAAATAACCAAGTTAATTTTTACTCAACCGTGCTGGTATGAAATGAATCTCTTATCTGACTTGCTTTCAATAACATTAAAAAGATAGCTAAATATTTGGACTTCATATTCCTTTACATAAATGGTTAGATTTGCACGTAATACTTTTTCATGCTACTTAAACGGTCCAGTTGGGGATGGGACAGCATATCTGCATTGGTCATACACACCTTGAATCTCTCCTCCAGTAACGATAGCTCACTGACGAGGTCGGTAACTGCATTCGTAAATGCCTCTTGGGGAGTGTAATCAGCTGTCGTTTGAACACGGAGTACAAACTTGTGCTCTAATGGATGAGGAACTTTGTAACCAGCAAACAACACCTGCGGATCCTTGTGCAGTTGCCTGCAATATCGCGGTGGTAGAGCAGAATTAAAACGAGGTAAGCCTGGCAAAAATGGAAGCAGAATTTTAATTCAGGGATAATTGCAGAACATTACATGATCTTCCAGCTCATTAACGTGCTCTTACTCATTAACGTGCTCATTAACGTGCTCTTACTCATTAACGTGCTCATTAATGTGCTCTTACTCTAGACTGGAAGTGATAAAGCGAAGGATTAGTGTTAAAGTTAAACATACATTGTGATTAGATTTCCGAGTGTATGGTCCTCCTTCATAACTGTGAAGACAGCTGCATTAGGAACTTTTGTGTCCTTTGTCACAGTGATCCTAGCAAACAAACAAAGTTTAATACATACATTGATGATGATACATTTTCAGTTTTACAATACTATTTCCAAATTTAGCCAGTGAACCTCTATTGAATTCTCCAGGAAACTGCTTCACATCGATAGAGGCTCATCTGGTATACCTGTTTAATAAGACTATATTATCATCTCTACATGCTTATATGTTGAAGTATATGAAACGTAGAATTTATTTGCTAGTGGAAACTCACTACTTGTTCTATATAATATGTAATAGTCACAAAATTAGTACCTATACTGGACAAGCCACTAAAGGTTAGGTTTGACTATAGGACTGCTAACATAGCCATATTGACTAGACTTTACAATGAGAGTGTGGTTGTTCAGTGTTTACCATGTCCACTTTTCACTGTGAGTTTCAACCCCACCCAGAGTGTGTGTTGTGGTGTGATGTGATGTGGTTATTGTGCTCTCAGTAATTAAGTTATCATTTTCATTGATTTGTTTATTTATATTGTTATATAATTTTTATATTAATTATTTATTTATTTTTGTCACGTGTTTTGAGCATGGAGTCTGAGGACATATAGTGTTACCTGGAACTTTAGTCGGAGTCTGTTATTTATTTTTGTCACGTGTTTTTTTTCACTAACCTACGTATTTTTGTACGCAAACCTTCCTGTACATATATGATTTCCTTTATTATGGATTTAATAATAATGCATCTACTGTGATAATTTCGCTATGCTTACATATATATGTGAAAAAGTCTTTTGTTTTGTTTTGTCCTACGCAATCTTGCTTCGTTCCTGCTATTGTTTTGTTGTTATTAATTTGATCAATTTATGTTGAGTTGTTGATGTTTTAACTTGATGATCTTGCATAATCCTTAAAGTGTACAGTATCTTCTTGCTCATTCTATATTCATTGTATATTTTGTTCATTACTATTTGTTTCCTACACTTTTTCTCCTTTGATTTATAAACCGCTTGCTTTACTGCTTCTTCATTACCATTGTTATTCAGCGGCTGCTTTACGTTTAATCTACTCTTGGGGGTGGCAGACTAGATGACTTAAGTGTCCTTCGCCACTCCCGTGCTTAAACTGATTAAAATTGTACTTCTACATGTAATTATTTCTTTTATAACGATGTACCTGTATTTATGTATGTCTTATGCACAAATAAACTGTTTTCAATCTTCAATCTTCAGAGCAGTGAAATGTCATTAGATATAAAGTAATCCTGGCCATAGACATTAAGGAATTTGAATCCCTCATGGTTTAGACGATCACGGAAGATGATGGCCCATCGCCAGTAATAAGGATGTTTAAGGACCACTGATAACGCAAAACTCTCTGGCAGCGAACACCCTTATAAAGTTATTGTCCATAAAGAGGTCGGCCTAGTGTCGTGCACTGAGGCTAACTTTATCCCTGTACATGATCTACTTAGCTACATGCAGACGCATTGCTCTGTAACTATATCTGTATCCTGTGTAGGGGGCGCCAACAAGTACAAAACACAACATAACACAAAACACATCTCTACACTGTCAGTGTGTAGTACACAGCTCTGTCGCTGGCACTGCCACGGCACAGGCAGTAGGACTAATCGGCTCAATCTTGTTTTAGGATCTTAGTAACAGTACACAAACTACCACCAGTACCACCAGGCACCATCACCACCCCACCACTACCTAACCAATAACCATACCAGTAAACTAATCCTAACCAAAGCCGATAATTGGAATCCCGGACTCAGGTCCTACTACTACTACTGATACTAATAATACTACAAACCACACAGGCACACTGTACAATAAATCACACGACGCCGGTACATAGACTAGAGACAGATACAGAGAGAGGACTGTACAGTACACAGGCACTTGGAACGTCTCAATAAAATAAAAAAATGTAAACACGAAATGTATTTACTACCAGTCTTGATGTTTCTCTACTCTATGTCGCCTATTATTGCAGATAATTACCCGTTAATGCCGGTCAAATGCTCCTCTGCAACACACAAGTACACCGCACGGACGCCCACCCTGTGCACAAACAACATGAACAAGAGAGTTCTCTCGGGCGATACTCCATTAGGAGTGTTCCCAACTTCATTAATGGTCATAATAATATATATATATATGGTCATATATTAGTTTGTAGTTTAATGTCATTTAGGTTAGGGTTAGGGTTAGGATTATCAATCATTAATCATTAGTAATATCAAAGTTGGGAACACTCCTAATGGAGCGTTAGCCGTTCTCCCTCATTCATGTTGTTTGTGCACAGGGCGGGCGTGCGGTGTATTTGTGTGTTGCAGATGAGCATTTGACTGGCATTTACAGGTGATTATAGGCGAAATAGAGTAGAGAAACATTAAGACTTTGGTAGTAAATACATTTCGTGTTTATTTACCTTTATTTTTATTGAGACGTTCCAAGTGCCTGTGGTACAGTACACAGTGACACTCTAGGCCTACCATAGCTCTAGTACTATAGCCCGCGTACAGTTGACGCTGGCACTGTACTGCGGCACTGGCTGCGGCACTGGCCAGCGGCAACTGTACGCGGGCTATAGTACTAGAGCTATGCCTACCATAGCTTTAGTAACCATAGGAGAGTGACTATTGGCCCGACGGTCGGGTGTATAAGAAAGGCTAGCTATTCGCCCAACAGTCTATAAGGATATGAACCAGTCTACGAGAGTTTATCCTCGCGCGAGATCTCGCAATATTGCCATTTTTAGAATTTCTGCGCCACTGCTTCCATTGTTAGGGTTAGGGTTAGGGTTAGGGTTAGGCGGGTTATGTTTAGGGTTAGGGATATTTCTTGATATCAAGAATTGTATTTCTTGATATCAACAAGACGGTCGGGCGAATAGACAGTAGCAACATACACGCCCGACGGTCGGGCGAATAGCCTCGGCCTAACTATAGCCCGCGTACAGTTGCCGCCAGCGGCAATTGTACGCGGGCTCTTGAGCTAGGCCTGTACCGGCGTATTTGGACGCTCGCCCGAAACTGGACGCTCCTAAGTGCGCATGCGCGCAGGCGCCTCTTGTTTTGCAAGGGCGCACACAGCGCATGCGCAATATGCGCATTAGTCATCTGCGCATCTTTCCCTTCGACACGGTCGCAATAAACAAACATGGCGGACTTCCCTGTCACTGATGGAAACATTTGATTGAAACTATTTGAAATATGTAGTAAATTAGTAAGACTGTGTTATGTGTGTCAGGTTACAAGGCGAAACAAAAGAAAACAAAAGAGCATGTCTACTATTTCCTACGGCCGTGCAAAATAAGATTCAAACAAAAAGAAAACAAAAGAGCATGTCTACTATTTCCTACGGCCGTGCAAAATAAGATTCAAACAAAAAGAAAACAAGAGCAAAACAAAAGAGCATGCCTACGGAGCGTCCAAATACTACGAGCATAGAAATCATATCAATACACTAGAATGGCAATCACGTGACTTTTGCAGGGAACGCCACGAAATTTCTGGCCGCCATCTTGTGACAGTAAGCAACAGCTGTGTTTACATTGCGCGATGCTAAGAATACATAACGTTTAGTCACTATATATTCACGAGATTAAGTTCACGGGTACACGCACGTACACGCATATACACGCAGATACACGCACGTACACGTACACGGAGATACACGCACGTACACGTACACGCAGATACACGTACGTACACGCGGGTACAACGCAGCTACACGCACGTAGCACTGCGGTACACGCACGTACACGCGGGTACCGGCACGTACCCGCAGATACACGCACGTACACGCAGGATACACGCACGTACACGTAGCACGAAGATACGACGCACGTACCGCGGACACGGAGATAACAACGCACGTACACGCGGGTACACGGCAAGGTACACGCCTCACGTACACGCAGATACACGCAGTACAACCAGATACATCGCGACGTACAGGTACAGGAGATACACGCACGTACAGCCGAGTACACGGAGGTCACGCACGTACACGCGGGTACACGCACGTACACGCGGGTCCATACGACGTACACCAGATACCTCACGTACACGTACCGAAGAACACGCCGTACACGCGAGTTACAAGGCACGGAGGTACACGCACGACACCGGGTACACGCGCACGTACAGACGCGGGTACTCGCAGTATACCAGGGGAAAAAAATACAACGGGGGGCGGTCGGGCGATTTTCGCCCCCCGAAATCCAAAAGAGCCCCCGAGACAATACGATATCGGGGACCCCAAAAGCAAAAGTCGCCCTGGAACTCGATTGTCCAGGTCGGTCCGCGCCTTGCGGATCTCCGCTCGTTACCTTCACTAGCCGCTAGCGGCAGCCAGGTTCCACGCGCGGTAGAATTCCTGGTACCGTGTGGCTGTCAGTGTTTTATCATAAGCAGCATGTGTGTATTGAAACATTCATCAAACCCAGCGCGCGCCGCCGCTCGGCGCGTAGTATATACGTGTGCGGCGTGCTGTGCGTGTGTGCCTGCGCGCGTGCGTGCGTGCCGTGTGCCTGCAGGCGTTGGCTGCGTGTGGTGCTGCGCGGTGCCGCTGCGGCTGCGCGCCGTGGGCGTCCTGCGCGCGTGCGTGCGTGCGGGCGTGCTGGTGTGTGCGCGGTGTGCCTGCGGGCGTGCTTGGCGTGTGTGCCGCGCGGCGTGCGGCGTGCCTGCGGCGCGTTGCGTGGGCCTGCATGCGTGCGTGCGCTGTGTGGCGGGTGTGCTGTGGGGCGTGCCTCCGTAGACGCGTAGTGACAACGACGCGTGAGGATTATAGAAGCGGTAATCGCATCGGAAAATCCTAATGAAATCACACGTATATCTTTACCCTGGCCGGGCACACTCGGTGTTTTCCGAGATGTAGCTTTGTTTTTGTCAATTCCCGAAAGAGTTTTGCTGCCTGCTCTCTCATAGTCAGCAATGGCCAACCGCTCTAGCCTTTTAGTAAGTGATTAGTACCACGGAAAACACCCCCAAATCGCCCCCCCCCCATCGACTTCAATCAATGGCGCGCCTGCAAGCAGGCCACGGTACGCAGCGTCGCAGTGTGCACAGCCATTCACACGTGCTCCGCGGCCGCTTTCTCAACCCCTGAGCTTCCAGGGCCCGTAGCGGGCCTTGACGCCAGCCCAAGAGACTTCGGCGTATAAAGCAATGCCGTATCCTCCTAAGCTCGTACAGGCGGACCATTGCCACTACTTTGGGCTAGCCGTAATAAGTTCTGTGTTTAGCTGAAGCGCACGAGCGCGCGGCCCGGCGCCCCGCTTGTGATTGTATTCAGTGTGGTGTATTCAAGGTGGCATTCTGTGGTGTGACTTGTGAGTTGTGGATTCATCATGATGTAGTCTGTCAGTCTGATGCAATAACTGTCTTGAATATTGGGACTGTTGTGTCTGTGTGTGTGTGTGTGTGTGTGTGTGTGGTGTGTGTGTGTGTGTGATGGCGTTGCGTGCGTGCGTGCCGTGCGTGCGTGGCGTGCGTGCGTGTGACGTGTGTGTGGTGTGTGCGGCGGCCGCGCGCAGTGTGTATTAGCTACTGTGCTTGTGTGTACATGAGGAAACAGCCTGGAAAAAGTCGCCCTGAAAGTGGAAAAGACTGGAAAATGAAAAAGTAGGCCCCCGAAATTTGGGGGGTTTGCAAAAGAGCCCGGAAAGAAAAAAATCTAATTTTTTTTCACTGGCAGATACACCCGCACGTACTCGCGTACACGGCCAGATACAGCACGTACACGCAGATACAACGCACGTACACGTACACAGATAACACGCAGCGTACACGCGGTACACGGAGATACACGGCACGTACACCGGGTGACACGCAGGTAGGCACGCAGCGTACACGCAGGATACACGCACGGACCCGCGGGCAGAATAGAACGCAACGGTACACGTACACGGAGATACACGCACTGTACACGCGAGTACACGGAGTACCGACGTACACGGCGGGTACACCAACGTGGACACCGGCGGTACCGCACGTACACGCAGATAACACGCACAGTACAGCTGCAGATACAAACGCACGGTACACGTACCGAAGGATATCACGTCACGTACAACAAGCGGGGTACACGGCAGATACACGCACGGTACACGCGGGTACACGCAGGTAGAGCGCAAGGTACCGGCGGGTACATCGCAGGTACCACGCACGTAGCAACGCACGGTACACGCAGATACACGGCACTACGACGTACACGGAGATACAGCACGTACACGCGAGTACACGGAGGTACATCGGCACGTACACGCCGGTACACGCACCGGTCACGCAGGTAGCGGCGCACCCGTACACGCAGATTAGCACGCAACGTAACGCAGATACAGCGCACCGTCAGCACGTACACGACAGATCACGCCACGTAGCACGAGATACACGCACGTACACGCGGGTACACTCACGATCACGCAGTATACACGCACGTACACGCGGGTACACGCACGTACACAGGCGGGTACACCACGCGGCCCACAGCGGGACCGCACGTAAACACGGCGGGGTACACGCACGTACACGCGGGTACACCACGTACCGCGGAGTACACCGCACGTACACGCGGTACACGCACGTCACGCATACATGTGCGTGTATCTCGTGTACGTGTGCGTGCGTCGTATCTGCGTGTACGTGCGTGTATGCTGCTTTGTACCCGCGTGTACGTGCGTGTACCTGCGTGTACGTGCGTGTACCGCGCGCGTGTACGTGCGTGAATGCTGCGTGTACGGTTACGTGCGTGTATCTGCGTGTACCCGCGTGTACCGCGTGTCCGCGTGCAGCGTGCGTTTTAGTACCCGCGTGTACGTGCGTGTACGTGGCGTGTATGCTGGGTGTGTACGTGGGCGTGTACGTGCGTGTACCGCGTGTACGTGCGTGTATCTCCGGCTTACCCGGCGTGTACGTGCGTGTATGCTTGCGTTACGTGTATAGCGTGCGTGTAACGTGGCGTGTATCTGGCGTGTACGTGCGTGTACCCGCGTTTGTACCCGCGGTGTACGTGCGTGTATCTGCGTGTCGTGCGTGTACCCGCGTGTACCCTGCGTGTACGCGTGCGTGTACCGCGTGTAGCGTGCGCGTGTACGTGCGTGTACGGCGCGGTGTACGTGACTACGTGCGTGATCTGGCTTGTACTCCGCGTGTATTCCGTGACGCCGCGTGTACGTGATTGTATCTGCGTGTAACGTGTTATGGTGCGTGTATGCTGCGGCGCATCTGCGTGTACTGCGTGTAGCCTGGCGTGTACGTGCGTGTACCTGGCGTGTACGTGCGTGTTCTGCCGTGTACGCGTGCGTGTACCCGCGTGTACAGTGCGTGTAGCATGCGTGTACAGTAGCGTGTATCTCCGTGTACCCGCGTGTATTGGTACGTGCGTGTACGTGCTGTACCGCCGCGTGTACGTTGCGTGTACCCCTCTGTGGGGGGGCGTGTCCTGCCTGAGCAGCCATTGTTTACAAAATTGCCTAGCTTAGCCTCGTTTTTGTGCGATGACCCCAGGTCATGAATAATAATTAAGAAGGGTCTATATGATGAAGTTTAATATTGATAACAATTACTGATTATATTTACTGGTAAAAACTGATTATAACGGCTGAAAACTTGATCAAAATGTAAATAACTCGCTTCACGCAACGACCAACATGACCCAAGTTCTAAGCATCCAATTACCATCCTAAGATGGCGGCCAAATTTTGCGCCAATGACAGGCCGTTGTCCTATCCAGTGTTTATATATATCAATGACTACGAGCGTCCAAATACGCCGGTACAGGCCTACCATAGCCCTAGCCGGCATATAAACAAATTATATACGAATGTAAAGTCAAAGACGTATCTACACATTATTGTTAACAAAACTCATGTATAGCCATACTTTTTCTCTCCCTCAAACAGCAAGAACGACTCAAACGTTGGAGGAGCATTCATATCGACGAAAACGTGAACGAAAACGTTGAGCGAACACTTTAAGAATCAAAATAGAGGGCGCGTTGGTGCTAATGTTTGTTAGACTAGTACCCTTCCCTTCTTATAAGCTTAATATAGCCCTATATCAAGCTTGTGAGAAGGGACGGGACCAGTCTAAATGTGCATGTGCATCTTCCAGCCGGAAAATAGAAACACAGAAATTTTATCTCTTTCCCTCGACGAATGACCATTTATTTATTCCTCGACTGACGGTTCGTGAACATGTACTGGATAAATATTTATTCTTATATTCGCAGCTTCTTTTGAGTAAAAACCAGAGAAATAATATAATTATAGATTAGACTTGTAGCAGCGGATTATTTTGTTTATGGACGTGGATATTCGTCCGAGCATCGGACACGCTGCTCGTAATAGTAATAGTAATACTAATAGTCGTATGCTAGCTGTTCGTATGCGCTATTCGTCCGAGCAGTTGTTGCGCATGCGCTGTTCATGTTGTATTACATAAATGTAATGTAATGCTAGTTTAGGGAGGAACCTACTCCCTAACCCTAGCTCCAAGAAACGGTATTGCTAGGGTTAGAATACCCGTTATAGACAAGCCGATATAGACAATCTGTCGCACAGCCTGGTCGGGCTACCCTAGCTCTAGTACTATAGACCCTTCTTAATTATTATTCATGACCTGGGGTCACGCACGAAAACGAGGCTAAGCTAGGCAATTTTGTAAACAATGGCGGTGCAAATACACTTTATGACGTCCAGTATGGCCGGCGTTAAAATCGAACGCGGGCTATAGTACTGAGCTAGGGTTTAGGGAGCCCGACCAGTAGTCGCGAGGAGCCAAACCCGTCGTTTTGGGCGGGAAGACCTGCTGCACCTGAGGAGTTAAATGTTTTTATATCATTTGCTGATTCTTGTAGACTAGGTTGGTTTCTTCACTTTTCTAGGTCTGCGGTGGATGACCACCCGCTCACCCTTGAGCAATCTTTCTGTATTAACCCTTTTGGGCTGTTGAGAGCCGATCAACTCAAAAAATGGCTGAAAAATTAGGGCGTGCAGCGGAAAACCAAAAAGTCTACTAGATCTGTTGTTTGAAAGCTAATGCTGTGAAAAATGTTCGGTATTTTGGATGAGCTTCTTTCTCAATCGAGTAGTTGGAGAGTGAATTGACTTCCTGTCCGTCCAGCTAGAGTGAGCTCAAAAGGTCACAAAAGCACAAAACATTTTTTTGAACCCTTCCTCGCACACATATTTTGGAATTATTCGCTCACAAGCTTTCGGCACACTCCTGGCCTTGGCAAGAACTTAGGGGCGGTATAATGGTGCGGCACTTTTTACCCCTCGTCAAATTATATGTTCACAACGGAGGAGGGCGCCTGCTATCATTTTAAACCACCATTGCTTTAAATATGTTGAAGGTTGACCAACCTATTACAAAAGAAAGACAAGTGAGCTGTTCACACCGGCGACCCCTCCGTCGCCTCGTTGTAATTACTGCCCGTAATGACGAGGGCCCGCGCCTAATTAGCGTGATTAGACTGGGCTCGCATTATTAAAACCTTACCCCGTATTGA